GGTAAAATTGAATCATCCCTTTCTATACATTCAAATCACATGTTTGTTGCCCTTAATTATATGATTGGCTACAAAAATGTACATTGCCTTTATATGCTGCATCACCTTCTTTCCTCTTTGTGTTACCCTCAGCAGTTTATAGCCACTCCTGTTTTGACCTACGGGAAGTATGATTCATGCTGCTAATTTGGTGAGGTGAGAGCGACAGCCCTTGATATCAAAGCTGCATTCAACCGAGTGTGGCATCAAGGAGCCCTAGCAAAACTGGAATAGAGACTATCAGGAGCCAAACTCTCCGATGGATGGAGTCATACCTGACACATAGGAAGTTGTGGTTGTTGGAGGTTGGTCATCTCAGCTCCAGGACATCTCTGCAGGAGTTCCTCAGGGTAGTGTCCTAGGCCCAACCGTCTTCAGTTGCTTCATCAATGACCTTCCCTCCATCGTAAGGTCAGAAGTGGGGCTGTACACTGATGACGGCACAATGTTCAGCATCATTCACAACTCCTCAGATACTGAAGCAGTCCATGTTCACATGCAACAAGATCTGGACAATATCCAGGCTTGGGCTAACAAGTGGCCAGTAACATTCATGCCACAAATGTCAGGCTATGACCATCACGAATAAGAGACAATTTAACCACTGCCCCTTGGCATTCAACAGTGTTACCAACACTAAATCCCCCAACATCAACATTCTGAGGGTTATCATTGACCAGAAACTCAACTGCATTCACCACATAAACACAGTGGCTGCAAGAGCAGGAATTCTGCAGCGAGTAACTCACCTCCTGACTCTTCAAAGCCTGTTGACCATCTCCAAGGCACAAGTCAGGAGTGTGAAAGAATACTACCCAGTTGCCTGGATGTGTGCAGCCCCAACAACACTCAAGAAGCTTGACACCATCCAGGACAAAGCAGCCTGCTTGATTGGCACTACATCCACAAGCATCCACTCCCTCCACCACCGACACTCAGTAGCATTAGTATTTGGAAGATGCACTGCAGAAATTCAGCAAAGATCCTCAGACAGCACCTTTCAAACCCACGGCCGCTTCCATCTAAAAGGACAAGGGCAGCGGATATATGGGAATACCACCCCCTGCAAGTTCCCCATCAAACCACTCACTATCCTGACTTGAAATTTATCGCCGTTCCTTCACTGTTGTTTGGACAAACTCTTGGAATTCCCTCCCTAATGGCATTATGGATCAACCCACAGCAGGTGGAATGCAGTGGTTCAAGAAGGTAGCTCACCACCACCTTCTCAAGGGCAACTCGGAACAGACAATAAATACTGGCCCAGCCAGTGACACCCCACATTTCACAAATGAATAGAAAAAAAAACTTAATCAATTGCTGAGGTAATCAGAGCTTCTGACTTCTGCTAATTTAATCATTCACAGCATCTGCTGTATGTCTCCAACTACCTCTTCTGCTCATTTTCAGCTTAATTTCTTTCTTGCCATTTGTCAGCAATCTGCAGTTAACAAAAGAAACTCACTGTTCATTACACTCAGAGTTGCCCATGTGTTCTTATGGCCTTTTGTGCGACAACTTACAGTTAGTTATCAAGCGTCTGAGACTGTATCGCGCCTTCTATAGAGGAAACAGTATCTGTGTAAAGAGACCAAGTCACACTGTGCCTGTTCAACCAATCAGATTGGTAAGCCTGAAAAGGCAATTATGTTAACTGAGGCAGGCAGAGTCTGAACTGGAGAGAGTAAATTAGAATATGGAATTCAAATAAAATTATGTACAGAACTCCAGATGCAGTCTCACAAATGCCTGAGAAATGAAGCGTAACCTCCCCATTCTATTTTATTTCACTCATGGGGCATGGATGTCTGCGAATGGGCCAACATTTATTGCCCATCCCTAGTTGCCCTTGAGGTACTGAGCTGCCTTCTTCAATCACTGCAGTCCATATGCTGCAGGTTGACCTACAATGCTGTTTGGGAGTGAATTCCTAGATTTTGACCCAGGCCCCAGCGACACTGAAGGAGTGGCAATATATTTCCAAGTCAGGATGGCCAGTGGCTTGGAGGGGAACTTGCATGTTCCCATGTATCTGCTGCACTTGTCCTTCAGGATGGAAGAGGTGGTGAGTTTGGAAGATGGTGTTTAAGGACCTTTGGGGAATTTCTGCAGTGCATCTTGTAGATAGTGAACAGTGCTGCTACTGAGCATTGGTGGTGGAGTGACTGAACGTTTGTGAATGTTGTGTCAATTAAGTAATTGCTTTATTCTGGATGGTGTCAAGCTTCTTGAGTGTTGTTTGGAGCTGCACCCATCCAGGCAAGTGGGGAGTATTCTATCACATTCTTGACTTGTGCCTTGTAGGTGGTGGACAGGCTTTGAGCGGTATTAGTCACTGCAGGATACCTAGCCTGTGACCTGATTTTGCACTGTATTTACATTGTGATACTGTCTGCATATTTAAATATCCAGATGGATTATTATATCCAGATCTTGTTGCATTTTAACATGGGCTGCTTCAGCTATTGAGGAGTCGCGAATGGTGCTGAACACTGTAATCATCAGCGAACATCCCCACTCCTGACCTTATGATGGAGGGAAGGTCATTAATGAAGCAGCTGAAGATGGTTGGGCCTAGAACACTACCCTGAGGAACTCCTGCAGGGATGTCCTGAAGCTGAGATGACTGCCCTCCCACAACCAAAACCAGCTTCCTATGTGTCAGGTATGTCTCCATCCATCATGGAGTTTGGCTCCTGATACCCATTGATTCCAGTTTTGCCAGGGCTCTTTGATGCCACACTCAGTCGAATGCAGCCTGGATGTCAAGGGCTGTCACTCTCACCTCACCTCTGGAATTCAGCTGTTTTGTCCATGTTTGAACCAAGGCTGTAATGAGATCAGGAGCAGAGTGGCCCTGGTGGAACCCAAACTGGGCGTCACTGAGCAGGTGCTGCTTAATAGCACTGTTACTGACACCTTCCATCACTTTATTGATGAACGAGAGTAGACTGACGGCGCAGTAGTTGGCCGGGTTGGATTTGTCCTGCTTTGTCCTACAAGACATACCAGAGCAATTTTCCACATTGTTGGGGTGTTGTCAGTGTTGAAACTGTACTGGAACAGCTACACTGGAGTGTGGCTAGTTCTGGAGCACAAGTCTTCAGTACTATTGTTGGAAAGTATCAGGGCCCATAGTCCTTGCAGTATCCAGTGTCTCCTACTCTTTCTTGACATCACGCGGAGGGAATCAAATTGGCTGAAGACTGGCAATGCAGAAAGTTGCAACACAAAGGTCTTGAGGTTATTTGCACATAGATGAAACAGGTCATCAGCAAGGTTAATTGAATGTTTACCTTTATTTCAAGGGGGCTGGAATATAAGAGTCGGGAAGTCTTACTGCAATTGTACAAGGTACTGGTGAGACCACATCCGGAGCACAGAGCAGTTTTGGTCCCCTTATATAAGGAAATATATCATTTCATTGGAGGCAGTTTAGCCAAGGTTTATGGGGATGATCCCTGGTGTGAAGGAACTGTCTTACGAGCAAAGGTTGAACAGGTTTGCACTCACTGGAGTTTAAAAGAACAAGAGGTGATCCATTGAAACATACAGGATCTTAATGGGCTTGACAGTATAAATGCTAAGAGCTGTTTCGCCTCATGAGGGGGTCTGGGACAAGATGGCAAAGTCTCAGAATTAAAGGGCACCAATTTAAGACTGAGATGAGGAGGAATTTTTTCTCTCAGAGGGTTGAGAGTCTTTGGAACTCCTTGCAAGAGACAGCTGGTGGCAGAATCCTTACGTATATTTAAGGCTGAGATAGATAGATTCTGATGAGTAGGGGAATCAAGAGTGACAACGGAAGGGCAGGAAAGTGGATGTGAGGAACGTCTGATCAGCCATAATCCCATTGAAAGACAGAGCAGGCTCGACAGGCCAAAGGGCCTATTCTTGTTCTTATTTCTTATGGAACATATGCTCTGGGTTGGAGAAGATTTTGAGGTGGGAGGGAGAGGATCCTATTGTCATGGTCCATGTAGACACCAATGACATAGGCAGCATGATGAGCTAGGCACAAGAGTAAGAAGCAGAACCTTAAATCTCTCGATTATTACGTGGTCTATGTGCAAGATGGCGTTGGATAAGCTTCAACAAATTAACAGACACTCCCCGCTGAATAACAAGGGTCTCTGATAAGCCTAAATAAAAACTAAAAGAACTGTGGATGCTGTAAATCAGAAGCACAAATAGAAATTGCTGGTAAAACTCAGCAGGTCCAGCAGCATCTGTGAAAAGAAATCAGAGTTAATGTTTTGGGTCCAGTGTCCTGAGGTAGGGTCACCGGACCCGAAACATTAATTCTGAGGAACGGTCACTCTGACCCGAAACCCCGCTGAGCGTTTCCAGCAATCAGTATTTGGGTTTCTGTGATAAGCCTGTTGTTTTGGTCAACATACCTGTTCACCAAACCCCGCTTTCTAATTCCAACCAGTGAGCTTATAAACTTTGTGATGTCACTTTTTTTCTCAATTAGAACTGACTACAGGACACTCTTCCCGGTCCGCCTCACTGTGAAGCTGACTGCAGGACACCCTTCCCAGTCCGCCTCCCCGTGAAGCTGACTGCAGGACTCTCTTCCCGGTCTGCCTCACGGTGAAGCTGACTGCAGGACACTCTTCCCAGTTCGCCTCCTCATGAAGCTGACTGCAGGACACCCTTCCCGGTCCGCCTCACGGTGAAGC